AGCAAGGTTTAGTGTCTGGAGATGATGAAGTTGGAAGAGGCTGCTATTGGGATGAAAAGTTCCACTAACCTGACTGCAACTAAGGTCTAACCCGATAACATGACCGTTTAATAAGTCACAAGTGACTCCATCCCAACTGCAGCAATCCCTACTCTCATTCCAAGACTTTGTTTTTGGGAAACAATCTTCATCACACCAATAACTACAGTACTCTTCGGACATATTTTGAAAGGATTGTTTGAACAGAAGCAAAGCAGAAGCTTCAGTGGGAGAGCAAAGATGATGATCAAAGGAAGAAGAAAAACATTCACTTATTAGCAACACAAAACAGAGAAATGAATAAAAGAAAAGAAACGTCCCATTTTTGTTTGTTTGTTTTCAGCAAATAACAGGATGTTTGTTCTCTTCTTACAAATCAATCAGCATTATCCACATATATATATACTAGTTTCAGTTGTCATACATAAATTGAATACCTATAACATACTGATTAATGTAATCCAACAAGTAAAGTTTCAAGAAGGTAGGATATACGCAGACCTTTATATATGAAGTAAGAATACAAACAACAAAAATTTTCAATGAAAAAATATAATATTAAGTTAAAATAATCAAATCTTACTCAAAACATTAAGAAGATTATACAATGGTATTGAAATAATTACGCTGAATTTGATAAGTTGATATAATAATATTAAAATGGTATTGATTTCACTACATCAAAAATGATTTATAACGGCAATTAATTAAGTTTAATTGCCGCTAAATATGTATTTTTAACGGCAATTAACACTCTTTGCATATGTCCCTAAAGCTTTTTGCGACATTGGATCTAATGACACTTAACTAATACCGGTAAAATCTTTAACACTCTTTATTAATGTGTATCTTTATTGCCGCTAAAAGTTGTTTTTGTTGTAGTGTTTGTTGCAGTGTTTGTAATTCAAAGAATACACCAAAAAACAAATTTGAACTTTTTTTTGACACCCAACAATTTATTTTGTATAATGCAAAAGGTTTTACCGTTTGATAGGCATTAGAATATTCAATAATGAATAAATAAAAATAGTAATAGGAATAAAAAAGGTAAAAATAATAATATGGGTTCATGAAGATCGTCAATATATAAATAAGTCAATAAAATAAATCATCATCATATATTATTATAAGTGGGAAGCTCCCAAGTTAAAAGTTGAATTACAAAAATACCCTTCAACTAAAAAAAGAGATTTTTTAATAAATGGTTGTAATATAATTCTATACTTGTTAAGCTTTAATTGTTTTGTATAATAAAATAATAAATAGAAAATAAAAAAATCAAAGAGGCAACGATCAGATCATATTTTTTTATACTTAAAAACTTTTGGTTTTTTTGTATTAGGAAAAAGAACCCTTTCCTTTCTTCATTTACATTTTTTTAAAAAAAAATAGACCAATAACTCTCTAAATTATCTAACCTTTCCTCTTACCCAATACCAAAAACTGTCTAAATTATCTAATCTTTCCTCTTCCCCAATTTATTACTCAATTAAATCTTAAGTTAATACTCTATATAATTATATATATTGAATGAAGATGAAAGCACTTCCTGAATATACCGTTTCATTTTCCTTTTTTGTGCACTTAATATAATTTATATAAATGCAATTATCATATAAGGTAATAGGGCTGCTTCACTTCAGTTGCAACGTAATATTATGATATATTTTTTTCCCTCATTTTATTTTCATCGTTTTAATTTATTTTTTTATGTTTCATGTCTGATGTAGTGTATTTCTTTGCTTATAACAGGACATTTAGGTGAATACTTTTTCTTCCATATTATTCTCATTTGTAAATCATAAGGTATGTGCGTTTATAATTCATCCCTGATTTTTTAATATGCTTCACTTCAGTTGCAACATAATATTATGATATATATTTTTCCCTCATTTTATTTTCATCGTTTTAATTTATTTTTTTCTGTTTCATGTCTGATGTAGTGTATTTCTTTGCTTATAACAGGACATTTAGGTGAATACTTTTTCTTCCATATTATTCTCATTTGTAAATCATAAGGTATGTGCGTTTATAATTCATCCCTGATTTTTTAATAATATAGATGCTTTCTTAGTTTGATTTTTTTTTTACTGTTTATGGGGTTTCATAATTGGAGTGGTAGTTCCTTCAAAGAAATATTAGTAAAAGACATTCCAAATATCGTGAAAAAGACATATTTAGAGTTGATTTATATTGTAAGCACATTTGAATTTTGCATATGATTGTTGTAGTCCTCCTTTCTCATTTTCCAATTTTCGATTTCACTCTTAAAAATATAACAATGATTTATTTCCTAATGTAATCACCATTCCTTTGCCTTCTTTTTTCATATAGAAGTGATTGTCAATTCATGATTTTATAAAAAGAACTACAAATAGTTAATTTAATTTATTAGTTTTAGTGATAAAGTTTGGTTATTTTTTAGAGTGTGCAATTTATTTTCACCATTATAAATTAATTACATACGCTTCAAATTCATTGTAATACAATGTAGATTACCTTGGTTATTATTAATTATTTCTATTTTCCATCTTCCTATGTATTACCTTTTCTAATAATCTATTTATCTCCCTTTGCCTCAAAACATTGTTATTAGATATATATGTTACTGATATTATTTTGTTTCTTTTGTTTTCTACTCTTTACCAAGCTACCATATAGTAATTTTGAATTAGGCAAGGGGTACACGTATGTATAATAGACAAAACACAATTCACATTCGATAACAACTTCTTGACCTGTATGTGATTTATAAGGTGGAGGCTACAGTTTCTTAGAAAGAAGGCAAAAATTTTAGAACATGAAATATTTTACCAATAAGAGATACTTAAATTATGTGTTGTGACATATTAACAAAACTTTTATCAAGTTGAATACTTGATATATTAAATAAATACATAATTAAAATTGTTCGAATATTACTTTTGAAATTCACTTGATAGCAATATTTCAGCATAATGTACCTTCTACTAATAATAATTTTTTATTGAATAGGCTAACCATTCATTGGTTTGAGCTTGTATTTTTTCTCTTCAATCACTATGCAAGTTATCACATAATGATCATCTTCTATCCATCTTAAGGAAGACATAGATTGATCAGATTTCTATTTAAAACCAAAACACTACTCTCATTCGACAACAACTTCTTATTACGTATGGAAATCTTCAATTTTTGTGCAACTTATCACACACAAATTATAATGTTTTCAAAGTTCTTGTACTAATTAAGAATGAGATACATGGGCAACATACATGTTCAAGTATATATATATCGTCATAACAATTCCACATAATTTAGTATGGGACACACGTGCAATGCACGTGCCCAGGACTAGTAGTCATATAAGAAAGAATGTTATAATTATCTAAACACTATTTTATTTTTTAATTATTACAACGACCTCCATATTAAATAAAGTAAACAGTTAACTAAACACTATTTGATAAAGTAACGTTGTTGACTTGTCTATGCATGAGGCTATGAGGTGTAAATTAACGAAAGAAAAGAAACACATCCAGACAAATAAAATGAGGTTATAATTTGTGGTTACAAAAAAAGTTGTCCCAAGTGTTAAGTCAATTTCTAGGAAGACTCAAAGTCACTTTTAACAACTCGTTACTCATATTTTGGAGTGTTCCACAAGACTTGTTAGGGGACGGAGAAGACTTAACAAAATAATACTCGCTATGTCCTAATTTTTTCTAGATGTCGTGTTCATTAAGTATCGCCGCAGTGTGTGTTAGGCAAGAGACTGTGAAATCGGTCCCATATTTATGTGGAAAAAGATTCTGCAAAACTTGTAAGAAATTTCCAATGACAGAAACTATTTCTTGACTAAGTCAAGTGAGGAAAAAAATGAACAATAATTGAAGACATGATTTAAGTCCTCCATCTACTTATCTATTATATATAAAAAAAATAGGAGAGGTGATAGCGCTTACGTGTCAGCGTCTCAATTAATCTTATTTTTAAAACTTTAAAATATCAATTAATTATATATTTGCAGTCTGTTTACGTCATTCATGAAAAAAATTGAAACAAACACGTGTACTATTCACAATTAATCACTCATTTTAATAATTTAAATAACAATTAATTAAACCAACTATTTACAGGTGTCAAATAGAAATTTGAAACAAACACGTTTCCTATTCACAATTAATCACTCATTTTAATTTGCTATTTTTTCTAATATATATATATATATATTGTACGGTCAAATACTATTTTTATATTGTCACAATTAATTAAATACTTTTTTTTTTATTTTAAAAACAATTTTAAAGAAGTTTTCACAATTAAATTTTAAAAAAATTAAAATCATTCTAAAAAATGGTGTTGTAACGTGTGATTTTTTTTTTTGTGGAAAAATAATTTTTCACAACCTCCTTATTTATAGCAAAACACATCATGTTTCTTTTTTTCCTAAAATTAAAAATTGATTACGGTTTTCTAATTTTAATTTTAAAATAGGCAAAATCTGAAAATGACAAGTGAACATTAATTTTTTTTTTAAAAAAAACATTAATAGATAAAGCAAAATAATTAGGGAACGGTTATTAAAAAAATGGTAAGAGATGTTATTCTATTTCTATTTCTATTTGTGCATAAATTCTTTTGACGATTTAACTTTTCTTCTTCTTCTTTTTCAGTGAAGTTATTCTAATCAAATACCAAGAAAGATGAAATCAAAATTCAACCAATTTTGTTTCAGTTCTTCTATCGATGACATGTTAATATTAATTTTTTTTCAAATTGTAGCACAAAGATGAAATGCGTACTTCATGAAGTTATGATTCAAATGGATAACAAATAAAGCAGGTCAGTTCCATCTACTTCAAGTTTGAACTATCAAGTTTGAAGATACAGTGAAATTTGATTGTTTGTGTAGTATGAGTATGACACGCTCTAGATTACGAGAGGTAACATGCCATTTTTAAAAATTTAATTTCTTATGCATGTAAATATTTTTTGTTTGACAGTTCATTGAATTTTATTATGTGCTATTTGAATTAGATTTCTTTTTCACTTTTGGTATTTGTTTGTTTATTATTATTATTATAATTATACATTGATAGATGCATTAGTGGAAATAAATACACACAAATGGATAATTATTATTTTTATATTTTTGCTATCTTAAGTAAGGATAAAGGTTCGAACTCTCTTCTCGATCCCACTATGTATTTTAGTTATATTTTCGTAGTTATAGAATTTCAAGTATATAAAATGCACAATCATTAATTATTGAGAATGCTATCGTACTTATAAAATTTGACTCTATCTCTTCCGATTGCAATGGTAATAGAAAATG